GGGGGTGGGGGGCTCACCTCGGTGGGCAGGTAGGAGAGGAAGGGGATGTCCATCTTCTCGCACTGAGTGGTGAAATCCCTGTACAGAGGGTCCGGCGAGCGCTTGGGGTAGAAGATAGTGGGTTCATAGTCCTGTGGGGGAGGGAAGGGATGGGGGTCAGAGCATGGTGTGAAGGATGAAGAGGAGGAGGATGGGGAGGGAGATACCCACGAAGATCCGGAGGTGCCTGGCACACACCAGCCCGATGGCTCCGTTCTGTGCTGGTCCACACACCACCAGCACCGTGGGCTGTCTCCGCGGCAGCGACGGCAGAGGGAAGGCCTGAGAGAGGGATGGAGTGTCACTGTGGCACTGTGCCACCCTCCCGGGGCACACAGGGATGGGGTGGAGCAGGGGGACAGGGTGAGGGGCAGCTGGACCCATGGTGGGCATGGGGTAGGCAGCACAGTGTGTGGTGGGATGGGGATGGTACCCAGGGTGGGTTGGGAATGGCACACAGGGAAGGACAGAGATGGCATGGGGATGATGCCCAGGGTGGCACACAGGGAAGAACAAGGATGGGATGGGCATGATGCCCAGGGAAGGATGGGAATGGCACACAGGGAAGGAGAGGGATGGCATGGGGATGATGCCCAGGATGGCACACAGGGAAAAACAAGGATGGGATGGGCATGATGCTCAGGGAAGGATGGGAATGGCACACAGGGAAGGAGAGGGATGGCATGGGGATGATGCCCAGGATGGCACACAGGGAAGGACAGGGATGGGATGGGGATGATGCCCGAGGAAGGATGGGGATGGCACCCAGGAAGGACAGGGATGGGGATGATGCCCAGGGAGGGATGGGAATGGCATCCACAGCAGTACTGGGTTGGCACCCAGGGTGGGGCAGGGCAGGACTCGTAGTGCGACGAGGATGATGCTCAGGATGGGGCACGTACTGAGACAAGGATGACACCAGTGGTGGGATGCAGATGTTACCCATGGTAGGATGAGGATGGTGCCCACAGTAGGATGAGGATGATGCCCATGGTGAGATGCCAACAGTGGAATCAGGACGATGCCTGTGGCAGGACAAGGACGAAACCAGTGGTCGGATGCCAATGGTGCCCACACTGGGATGAGCACAGTGCCCGCAGTGGGAAGGAGAAGATGCCCAAGGTGTGCTAAGGACGCTGCCCGGGCAGGGCTGGTGCCCGGGGGGGCCGGGGCTCCGTGCCAGGCTGCAGGGAGGCGGCTGCGCGCTCCACATACCAGCAGGCTGCACTGGGAGGCTCTGTTTATCCACTGACGGATATTTTCCTG